GGCTCGTCACCGTCGCCACCGTCACTGCCGGAGAGGAGGGAGCCGGGCCCTGGCACTCTGTCAAGGAATTAATTGAAAAATAAAATCATTAGGTGGGAACTCCAGAAGTGCAGGCGAGTTGCGAGGTGGGGGAGGCGGCGGAGGGGGGAGGCGAGCTTTTGTCAGGTTAATTTTGTCGGTATTGATGTTTGGTGACATTTACTTGTTGTTTATCTCCCGCAGCAGCTGTAATGCTAAAAGAAAATGCACAGCTTGTTCCGTTTATTTATTTTACACCTTTTCTCCCGTCCGCCGCTATGTTTGTTTGTTTGAGGAACCCAGCGAGGCTTTTGATGTCTGCGCGCGGCTGCTGCGCGGGCGCCGGGCCCAGCCGCCGGCCCCCTTTGCCCCTCGCCACCCCGATCGGGACCATGTTGGGCTCGGATGCTCACCCAAGGGTGCAGATTTTGTCCTGGTGCTTTGTGTCCCTGGACATCCCTGTGGCTTCGAGCAGAGAGGCAGGACTTCTCCTGCAAAACCTGCTAGGGATAACGGGCTCTGCCCAGCACGGGCAGCTCCTGTATGGCTTTGGGCTGGGGGCCCTCCTTACCAGCAGTGTGCCCTGAGGTCTGTCTGGCTTTTAACCATTTCCTTTTTTTTCTTTCCTCCCGTGTTGCCTTTTCTACCATCTGGGCCTGGACAGATTCCCCAAAGAAGAAAAAACGATCAGAGATTTTGGATGAAATCATGGGGCACCTGGAGGAGGAGGAAGACATGAAGGAGGGGAACAACTAGGAGGCCTTGAGCCAGGTGGGTACCTGGACACTGGGGTGAGTGGAAGAACTAGCCCTGAGTGCAGAAATGTCCTGGGCTGCATCGGTTGACAACACAGGGTGTCCCTGGAGGAAAAGGAAGCTCTTGGGCTGCATGCCCATGTTGTGCATGTCCCAGGAAAGGTGTAAATGTGTAACTGTGGGGATTGAGGGGTGAGCGTGTCATTACAGGGCGGTGATGATGAGAGCTCCTGGGGAGCACTTGAGACATGGGTGGCTCTTTGAGCTGCACAACTTGAGGCCCTTATATTTGTATATTTGGTAAGAGCTTCTGATTTTCTTCAAGGTGCAGCCATGCTGGGAAATCTCTGAGCAGGTCAGAGGGACGAGGGGTTCCCAGGTCCTGGCACCTTGGTTGGTACCAAGGCTGGCAGCCCCTGGGCAGGGATCCCACTGCCTGGCTTCACTGTCATCCCGCGGGCTTTTTGCCCTGGTCTCAGGGGAGGTGGTTCCGAATTGCTCCGTTCTGCCACCTGGGCCCTACGCCGAAGCGAGTGCGCGTTGTGCTTGTGTTTGATGGGCTGCCAAAAACAGAGCCTGTCCAGAGACCAACCTGCAGGAGCTGCCACAGAACAGACACTTTGACAAATGCCTTTCCCTGACCACCACGGCGATCTCCACGGCTCGCTGCAAAGAGACCGCGCACCCCAATTCGGGGACTGTGTGGCCGCTTGGTTTTGGACACACCAGGGCTTTTCTTCCCCCACGCACCCGAAAAGTTGTGTTACTGCTGTTCAGAGAGCTCAGCAAGCTCAGGGGCTGCTAAGTGCAGGCTTAGACATCTCTTGGTGTAGGTTTGTAGCAGCCAGGCATCTCCTGATAGAGGTTTCATTGCTCCTTCTTGGCATGTGTCTTCTCTTGGTGGCATCACTTGAGGCTGGAGAGCTGGAGATGCTGCAGATTGGCACGAAGGGGCAGGTGTAGGTAGCTCTCCTGACATCAAACACTGTGCAGTGTAGCTGGTCTCCCACCCCCTCATGAGCCCTCCTACCAAATCCTGCATAGACTCGAGACAGGACAAGTTCCTGAAAAATAAGCCCATCAGTGGCTGTTAAAGCACTGTAGTCTGGCTGGAATTGCTGCCTTGGGATGTCCTCCAACTGCTGTTACCTGGAAGCTTGCAGAGTAAACGCACCCCAATTCTTAACCCTCTGCAGCACCCCAGGACATTCACTACTGTCCTTGGTTTGCTGGTGGCTTTGGGGGGCTTTCAAGGAAGGAAGAGCCCTGGCTGCACCGTGCATGCGCCTCGTCCTTTTCTACCTGGTGGCCTTGAGCCTGGCGTTGTCCAGGGTGCCGCTCTGCAAGGCCTCAGTGCTCACCCCTTTGGGGAAGAAGCATCTTAACTTCTGTGGGGTTTTTTGGTTGATTTTAATTAGATGCCTCCTCCTAAGGGAAAGAAAAGGAGCAGAGAGATAGTCCAGGCCTCCCCTCTTTGGCCGTCTTGACGTAGGCTCATCCCTCTTGCTGGTGGACGGAGTAGCTGGCGCTTCCCGATGGATGGAAACCTGCCGTCCTGCGCGGAGGAGCTCGGGTAGGGGAGGCGAGTTCAGGATACTCGCTGCCCGCCGGGAGGTGACGCAGGAGCCTGGGCTGATAAATCCTGCACGCTGGAGGGGAAGTGATTGCATTGCTCCCCCCAGCAGGATTTATCGTTTTCTCAGCACTGACAAGGAACAGATTTGACACCTTCTGGCTCTGATGTTTATAGCCACATAAATGAAGGAGGTTCCTAAAGCTCATCCAAACGGAGCGTGGGCTCCAGGATGCCTCTGGGAAGGCCACCAGGAGCCGGACTCCATTTGGAGACAGCTCAGGAAAGATTTCTGCCCGTGAACCCACCGCGGAAAAGGGGAGGTTACTGCATGTGCCACCGTTCCGAGCGCTTCCAAAGGGACAGTGGGAAGGGGGGAATCTGGGCTGTCCTCCGTGCCGTGCGGTTGTGCGTGCGCTCCGCATTACTGCCGGAGAGGCTGTTTCCCTCCCGGCAGCATCCAGCTATTGTTGCAAGGCGGTACCCAGCGCACCGAGCAGTGGGATGCTCATAACCTTGCTTATTATGGGACTTTTGTCAAGCCCACAGCACCGCCGGCCTCCTGAATAGCGAGCGCATCTGGGCCCGGAGCCCACCAATAACCCCTCTAATGCGGCTGCCTTCCCGCGCTGCCGTCGGTGCCGGAAGCATGCCCGGCACCGGGGCTGCTCTCATAAAAGGGAAGGTGGTTACGTGACCACAGGAATAATCCGAGTTGGGTTAAATAACTGTCTGCTTCACGCAGCGCCTCTGGAATAAGCACTGGGGCCTCAAGATAACATTTGTTCCCTGGGAACGGCTCTAATTTAAGGATGCCTCCAGATGTGCGTGCTGTTAACGCCTTCCCGAGAAGTCAGCCGCAGGAAAGGCTCGGGAATGGAGAGCTGGCGTTGCTTGCGTTCACACAACCCTGTGCTTTCGGACGCGTCCCTCTTGGCCCTCCCGGCGCTCCAGGATTTAGCCGTCCCGGTGCCGTTTGCCCAAGCACCGTTGCTGCAAACCTGCCCCCCGCTTTCCTCTTGCAAGCCCAGGCTCGTGCGAAGCCGCCTCGAGGTTCACAAACCCCCCAGCTCGCCCAGGAGCTGCTGCTGCTGCGCCCGAGCGGCCCCGGGTCCCCAACGCAGCCCCTGGGACAGGTCCCGGTGCTGCTGGCGCAAGGGACAGGCCCCGCGTTGGGAACGAGCCCTGGGCAGTGTTCAGGCTGCAGCCTTGCAGTGGCTGCGTATTTACGCCCAGTGTGCGGGTGGGTAAACTGAGGCACGGAGCAGTATCCAGATGGGATGTTAAAACGGTGATGAGAAGCCCGGGGGGGCTCCTTTTCCCTCTCCTTTTGCTCCACGCCGGGAAGTGCTGTTCCCGTCTCCTGCTGCCTGCGCTGCTCCCTGCTGCCTTTGCCATCTGTGCCGCGGCCGGCGGCGCCTCTGAGGCCACCGGGAGCACCAGGGCTTCCCAGCGGGGATGGGGACACCGCGCTCGGAGGGCGCACGCAGCGGGGCTGGAAACGAGACGGATGGGGAACGTAGGGCCCCACGGCCGGGGCGGAAGCCTCCCAAGGGAAGATGTTCATGGGGAAAACGCTGATGCCTAAAAGCCTGGAGGGAGCCGGAGCAGCCCCGAACGGCTCAGCATCCCGACGGGAAAAGGAAGGAGCAGCAACGATCGGAGCGAGCAGAGGACGCCGGAGCGGGGCAGGGACCCTTGCAGGCACATGCACCGCGAACAGACCCTGTAAGCGAAGCCTTACGGATTGGGGGTAGTTTTTCCTGCCTTTTTTTTTCTCTCTCTCTTTTTTCCCTGTATTTTTCCCCTCCCCTCATTGTCTTCTGTGGCGGGGCAGGTTTCTTGCTGTGCGTCTCTGAGGTCTGCGGCGGCGGCGAAAGGGATTAGCGCAAGCAGAGCATGTAGGCTTTAGAGAACAGAGCAGAGTTTGGTTTCAACATCTAATTCAATTTGTTCTGCCGAGATTGAAATATGAAATGGTTGCCAGTCAAACGTTCAAAGGGGGAGGAGGGAGGGAAGGAGCGAAGGAGCCTTCTCAAATTTAAATTTTAATGAAAATTAATTTAACCCTTTGATATGTTTTAAAACATGTTATTTCCTTGTCTGGAACAGGCTAGAAAACATTTTTTTTTTCACCATACCTTCAAACATAATGAAGATTTTCTTTTTCCCTTAATGATACTTATCTTGTCGAGCAGTTTGACATTGGTTAATTTTTCAGGCAATTTGGTATCAAAGAAATCTGTTTGATGTGTACAGGGGAGGCTGTGTATGTGTGTACAGATATGTGCATGTACGTTAATTATGAAAGTGCTGATCACAGCTCTGGAGTACGGTTGGAGTTAATTCCTAATCGGCAAGCAAAGGCTCTGCTGCTTTGTTATATATGAAAAATTCCCCATATTGCACCCCTAAAATGACAGCACATTTGACACGAATTTTCTGAGACCAGGCACATATCTGCTAATTAATTTGAATTCAGATGAAAGCCTAAGTAGGTCTTCATGAAATTCATCGCTCCCCACTGTCTTTTTTTTCTTTCTTTTTTTATCTGAAATGATCCTAATGATAAAATAACACAAACTCTCTAGCTGCGTAGTCAAACATGGGAAATAACCTCTTGCTAGCTCCCAACCTGTGCAGTACTGCTCAAGCTGAACCCTTGATCCACCCATGTTGCTTAGGAGTAAAATAGTTCCTTTTAGGCAGGCGGTAGCAGTTATTCATAAAAGCTGCATTTGGAACAACTGGCAGTGCCGCAGGGGTGTGTATGGGCCGTGGGATCGCTGTGGGTCCAGCCCCACCACTCTGCCTCGCGAGCCGACGTTTGGGGCCCGACGCTTTGTCGAGTGTTGGCGGAGGCCCCGGCGCTGCCGCGCGCCCGGAGGCAGGGAAATGTGGAGCAGCTACGGAGGGAGGAAGCGGGACAACTAATTCGGTTGAAATACCCCAAATGAGCAGTTCTGTGGAGCAAGCCCCGGTTGTGGCTGTGGTTTGGGATAGGGGATCTAAGCAAAATCCTGGAATTTAAAGCCCGTCCTTTCGGCGAGGGCTGGGAGGGGTGCAGCGCAGACCCTCTTCCATTGCACTTCTCTGGTTCTCCCTCGTTCTTGGGAGCGAGAGATACTCGTCAGTGTGTGCAAGTTAGAAGGAGATGTTTCACCAGCAAACTGGTGCTCCGCCGAGGAGCGAGGGCACCGCGGCGACTGCACGTGGACAACCTGGGACACCGGTAACCATCTCTGCTCTGCCACTGTTGCATTCGCCCCTTGGCCACATGACTTGATGATCTTGAGGGTCTTTTCCAACCATAGTGATACTGTGATTCTATGACCAATGGGGGCCTTCTGCCTTGCGAGCACGTTCAGCATTGGTGCCACCCTGTTCAGCATTGGTGCCACCCAGGCTGCCACATGGTCCCTGTAGAGATTTGG